CAAAGGATGCCCTTGATTTAGCCACCTTCTACGATATGTTAGACCAAATTCAGAGCACTGGAAAGTTTAGGGCACACAAAAGAAAAATTTGCTGACTTTTTAGAGCCATTGGTGGAGTCATGTTTGCCAGAAAATGTTCTGCGAGCATGGGAAAGTAGTAGAATTTCAGAAAATATTGATGAAACTACAAGTGAGAGATCCCTGGAAAAATTGCTGTGCTTTTTACGCCATTAAATTGAATCAGAAGAGATGATATGTTTAGTTCGTGAAGGATTCGATAAAGATAATGGAAATGGTGCTATTCGGAAAGATTGCTCGAAATCTGTCCACAAAGATGAACCCATTGTGGCTACCTTAATTTCAAGCACAACTGGTGCAAAACTTTATTGTATTTTCTGTGACTTTTGTGTCTAAGTAAAGACTGTTAAAAATTATCCAAGATGAGTTATGCGGACAGAAAACCACAAGTTATAAGGAAAAGATGCTGTCTCATTTGCCTTCAGTCTGGACCCATGGCAAGAAAGTGCAGAGTAATGTAAAATGTTTAATTTGTCAAGGGAGACATTATGTATTCCTTTGCCCAGATTTATGCAAGGAAAAGTTTTCGCCTTAGGACAGAACAGCCAATAATGAGTAGAAATCTATAGAAACATTGCTAACAAATCTTCCCTCTGAACATGAAATATATCTCAAAACCATTTTTATCAGACTACGAAATGGCGACAAGGAAGTCTGTGTTCGAGCATTGTTGGACGATGGATCGCAGCAATCCTATATCGAAAAGAATTTAGCTGCAGAATTAAACCTTTCTTCCCCTGGAAGAGAAATATTTTCCCAAAGACTGTTTGGCAGAGGAATTTCTCCTGCTTCTGAGCATAAGAGACACATGGTAAACATAGAAAGCTTAAATCGGAAGTATTTAACCCCATTGTCTCAAGCAACCAAGGATTTGCTCAGCCCTGCCTAGAATCCATGAGAAAAAAATGCTTTCTCTCATGAGCTTGCTTCCCGAGGAATAAAACTAACAGATGTTGGAAGAGATTCACCACCTATACAAGTTCTTCTGGGAGCTGATATAATTGGAATTTGACAAGAAAAATAGAGATATTATCTTCAGGAGTATCTGTAGTTTCTGGGGGGAGCCAACCCTTTTCCACCCCTTTCTGGGTTGGACAATTTTAGGACTAGGAAACAAAAAACAAGTTGTTAACCTAGTCACATTAAGCTTGCAAAATATGGAGGTATCTAAAATGTGGGACTTAGAAAGATTCCATTCTGGTGCAACAGGTCTAATTGCAGATGTGAAGCAGGCATTTCTACACATACGTCTGAGAACTGAAGACAGTGATATCTTAAGATTTTTATGGTGGGAGAATGCTGAAAGTTCAAAAATGAGAATTTATTGTCATTGTCGAGTAGTCTTCGATGTTTCCTCCAGCCCTTTTCTGTTAAACACCACTATTAAATTACCATCTAGAATGAGAAAAATTCCAGACAGCGAGCTTCAGGAAGACAACTGGTCATTTAAAAGAAGGATTCTACATGGACAATTTAGTTACAAGTATTAATGACTCTAAAGAATTGGAACAACTGAAATCGCAGTTCATAGAAATAATTAAAGAATGCAAATTTGAATTGCGCTGTTTGGCTTGTAATGACTCTAAGGAAGATCAAGACATGCAAATGGTACTTGGTCCAAGTTGGGATGTAATTAGCGACGAACTTTCTTGCAAGTTACCATCAAATTTAGATTGTACCCAAGATAAACCAATTACAAAAAGGGTACTGTTATCTGTGATCAACAGCGTTTATGACCCGATTGGCTTTACTACTCCAATGTTATTGTTACCAAAGTTACTTATACAAGGGAGAGGAAAAATAGGCTGGGACGAAGTATTGTCTGCAGAACTTGAACAGAAATATAGACGATGGGAGAAAACCATGCATTTGATGCCTAAATGTACAATACCTCGAAGATTGCTTACTGAAAATTACGATGATTTCACACTGCACATCTTCACAAATGCTTCTGCTTATACTACTTGTGCTTTCTACGAAGTGAATACAAAGGTCAAGTGACAGGTAACAGGTGACAGCAGGTTCGGATATCCGGACGTATTACATAGACTAATCAGGTATCGTCTGGATCCCGCAACTATCTGAAGCTACACTCCGAAAACAATACAAGGGTAAAGTACATGGCCATACAAGGGCAAAATATAGATTTTTCTGCATGCGGAATGAAACATTTTCCTGGCTACATCGCATGTTAACACATTGCTACACATACTCGCTAGACTATACATTTCATAATATGCATTGCGTTGATCATTGCACTGTACTTAAGGCACATTTACAACTCAATGCAACACTTAATACACTATATATTCTTTGCAACATATTACGCTGAACATTATTCTTGACAATTCAACATAGATTCTGAACAATGTAATTGATTAAATAAGACATAATTTGTTTATATACTACACAACTTAGTATATAAAACAGACTTCAATAAATAACTTGATACAGCAGATAAATAAATTAACAACTCTTAAATAAAGAGCAAAATTGCACATTACATACAAATTACACATTTGCACACAGAAATACACGTTGTTTACTTTGTGCTGTACTTATAATATACAAAATAAAGGTCAAGTGACAGTCAAACTCTTAACAGCTAAAGCTCGACTTGCTCTAATGAAAAAATCCATAATTCCATGACTTTTAATTGTTGGAAGCAGCTCTAGGCACTCGATTAGCAGAAACTGCACATTCTATCCTACGAACTGCTTCTAAAACCTACTTTTGGACTGATTCAATGGTAGTTTTAAGTTGGATTAAGAAAAAAAGAGCCATGGAACACATTAGTTGGCAATCGAGTAAAGGAGATCAGGGATTTGACCAATTTAGATGGAGGTATCAGAGATTCCGGATGAAGCATTTATAGGGCGGTGTAAGACAGTTGTGACAAATTTAGCCAAAGGAAATGAAGAGAGATTTGGAGATAGATTTCTGTACTTTTTAAACTATACGAAAATTCTCCAAATGATGGCTTATGTTCTGCGATTCTGCAACAATATTAAGAAAAACTCTCCTTAGTTAGTTAATTCACTTTCATATGAAGATATTGAAAAGGCAGAGGAGACTCTAATCAAAATCATGCAGTCAGATTGGTCCTCTGAAATATGTGAGAAGTATAAGGATACGACATAGTTTTTTGTAGAAAATGGCATCCTGAAAGTTCAAACAAGACTAACTCTCAGTCAAGATCCACAGGACTTTACACGTCTTACAGTTCTACCAGACCATCCTCTTCTAGAAAGACTTGTTTTGCATATTCATAGATCCTTAATGCATGCTGCGGTATTAACGACCTTAACACAATTAAGAAAAAAATTCTGGATTTCCAAGAGTTGGAGAGTTGTAAGAGCAATTTTACGACAGTGTATAAAATGCAAAAGGCCAACAGCTGGCAAAGTTAATCCAGATTCAGCTCCTTTACCTCCCGACAGAATACACATAATTGCAGGCTTTCAAATAACTGGAGTGGATCTGGCCGGTCCACTTTCCTTACATGGTGGAAGCAAAGCGTGGATAGTTCTATTCACGTGTGTGGTATATCGAGCAGTCTATCTAGAACTAGTTTCATCTCTCTCCACCTAAGTGTTTGTGTAAGCTTTGAGAAGATGCTGGGCAAGAAGAGGAAAGGTTCTACTCTACACTGATAATGATACAAAATTTGTAGGGGAAGCAAATTCTTTGGATTGGGATTTCATTCAAGCTGAATATTCTTTAATGAAGATAAATGGTTGTTTAGCCCGCCGATATTTGTCAGACCAGCTCATTTCATTCAAGATATAAAAGAAACATTTGATTTGGATCTGATTCTTAGCATATATTAAAACGGGTAAACCTTCACACCTTACGATTGAATTTAAGCAAACGTTTCTACAAAGAATACCTTGGAGAATTAGTAAGAAGTTCCAAAGTAGCTTCAAGAAAAAGGATTATTTCTCCAGGAGAAATCGTCATAGTTGAATCAATGAACCCGAACCAAATGAATTGGTGTGGTGTATTTAATTATGGCAAAGCACACTAGGGCTATCTGTCTAAGGGAAGGGATGCCTTCGTGGAGGACTTTCTAAGGGAAACTGGCTTGTAAACACGTTACACATGGGGAAAACCACAAAAAAGCCCATGCAGCCAGCCCGTTCGTGGGATTCGAACCTCGGACCGAACTACCAGTGTTCAGCGACTTTACCACTCGGTCGCTGGTGGGCCATCCGAATGAATTGGCCCTTGGCTCAGGTAATCAAATTGTTTCCAGGCAAGGGCAGCATGCAACGTGTGGCCAAGTTGCGACTAGCCAGTGGTGAAATTATATGACCGCTACAATGAATTTATCCTCTGGAGCTCAGTGCTAGTGATCCTATTAGCGAGGACTACCAAGGAACTGATTCCGCTGAGCTAAACCTAGGCCCTATTGCATCTGATATTCTTGAGGAAGGAAAGAAACCTCAATATGGCTGTCCATTAATTCCTGCTAAAAGACTGTGAACTTTTAATAATCTTTACCTTTGCAATGTCACCTATAAGATTGTTTGGTTTTGTAATGTAAATCTGTTATAATTTGTTTAATTTTGTAGTGTAAATCTGTTATAATTTTCTTTATGTTTTCATTTGTATGCAATACAAAAGATGGGAGAATGTTGCCACTCATCTTGTATTTCTCACTTCCTGTTGCCTTTTCGAGTTAATTAACTTGTTACTGAGTTGGCGAAATTGGCAATGAAAAAAGAGATTGGAATTCCATCCATGTTTACGTTTTTAGAGTTCAACGTACATGATGCTTATAAAAATAGTTTATATTGAAAGATCTCCTTCAGTCATAATACGTGCGCTATTTGATGTTCCTGAATTTTTCCCTGGTTCACTGCTTTTTAACTGACTTTAAATCATTGGTAATGAAACACAGGTGAAAGAATTGTATTCAGTTTAATATTTTGCCCATTTTATTGAACACTTACATAATAATGACAATAAACAAATTATCTTTTCAATATATTAATAAATGCACTTCTACCAATTTCAATATTTCCAATCATTCTCATTGTCTTCTTACCCTCTTTCTGACGCTGCAAGAGTTTCATTCTGCGAGTGACATCTCCTCCATACTTGGCACAAAATAAAAGTTTTATTAGATATGATATATATTAAATGCTGTCATAAGAACAAGAAATAAGAAAAATGAATAAAGAAAGGATACTTTTAGAAAATATTCTACATCATATAACTCGAAACGACTGTTAGTGGCCACTCTGTTATGAGGAAATATCCACTCAATGGGAGTGTACTGGTCTTTTTCTTTGAGGATCCAAGGATTTAGGAACTGTTCATTAACAGGGGATAATTTGTTAAATCCGTCCAGTTTAAAATGAGATAGTGAAAGAGGCAAATCCAGGTTGTGACAGTTATTATACAATTATTTTTTATTCAGGCACCCAGAAAGAGACTATCAGGTTTTCTCAAAGCAGGAAATATGTGAAAAATCAACCATTTCCAATCCGAGAATGCTGGTTACTCCCTTTAACCAACCACCCCACTAGTGGCAGAGCGGTTAAGGCCACTAAATACTGGTGGTCGACCCAGTTTGGAATTCAGGCGAACAGGCTGGCTGCATGGTGGGTTTACCCATGTGTAACATGATTATGAGAAAGTGCTGCACAAAGGCATTCCTCTCCATTAGCCAGGGAGGAGCCTTCATGTGCTTTGCATATTCAAATAACCAACCACCTTTAAGGCAATCACCAATGACAGTTGCATCTACAGTCGAATCCAGTTGATTGGACCACCGGATAATTGGACCAGCTGCTTTTTCTGACCAAATCCCATGTACATAAGCCTAATACACTCACTTCCAAAAGTTAAGTACGAAGATGTAAAATGCAAAAAATCAACAAATACTGCTTTGATTGACACAAAATTCGGCAGGAAAGTAGCATATATATTTATGCATAAAACAAAATCAATAATTATATACAGAAATGAAAACAATATTAAATTTTTGTAAGTTATCAGATAATGACATACTGGAGATGGAAAATAAACAACATAAAATGAAAAAAAGGACATTAATAGGGCATGTGATCCCCCCCTCATCTGTATACAAAGTTTACACCTTGTGACCATGCTTTCAATTAGGTGGTCAACCACCGCCGAATTAAGCAATTGCCATTCTTCTTGTAGAGCAGTTTCCAGCTCAACAAGAGTGGCCGGAGGTGGGAAACATGAAGATACAGCACGGCTGAGAGCATCCCAAAGATTTTCAATGGAATTAAGGTCGGGCGAATATGTTGGCCACGCAATACGCGCAATCCCTTCACTCTCCAGGTAGTTCATCGACGAATTGTCAGCTCTATGGGGATGTTCGTTATCGTCCATTAAAACAAAAGTAGGGCCAACTGCTGCAGCGTACAATCTCACAATGGGTTCTAGGACTTCATCTCGATACCGGACAGCTGTCTCTTAAAGATGTGTAGGTCAGTGCAGTATCCTAATGAAATCCCTGCCAACACCATAATGCTTCTGCCTCGGAATGCGTAGTGTTCGGTGATGTTTTGGGACTGATTGCATGTTCGTTGTTCACACTATAGCCTTATACGCTTGTCATCAGACCCAATCTTGACTCATCAGTACACATGACATTGCCCCAGTCAGACACATTCCATTTGACCGGCACCACTGTAATCGTGCCCCTCTTGATTGGACGAATAGAGGAACACAAACTAGAGGTATCCGGGCGTACAATCCACTCATATGTAATCTTCGGTGTACAATAGCTGCAGATATCGTGTTACCAATGGACACTGTAACTATAGATGTCACACGTGTGGACGTCGCTCTGCGATTCTATATTGTAGCCAAGCGGCTACGGGCCTTTGGACAACTGTCTGTGTGGTTTGGAATTGTTTCCATAAATGTGAAATTACAGAATTATGACCGCCAAAGTAAAGAGCAACATCTGTGATCGACTGTCCTGCTTCAATGCGCCCCACAGCACGCCTGCGCTCAGAATCTTCCATTCGTCTTCTGGAAGTCACAGAAACATGCATGTCTTAAAAACAAATTGTAAGGAAATTTTAAACATCTTCTATCAGCATTTACAATCAACTTCTGTAACCCTTCATAAAGCTGACTTCTTATAAGACTGCCTTTTTTGCATATTTCTTGACATGTAAGCATGATTGGCTGTTACCTAACATATTTGCATACTTCCATCTACCTCTGCAGCAAATTGCATCCTCTTCAATTTTGATTGGCTTCTGGAAATTAGCATTTTCCTTTCCGTGCTTAACTTTTGGAAGTGAGTGTATTATTCGCTTGTTTGGATTAAAAAACGTGACAGCGAATAAAAAACAGAAGCCACATGTCGGCTGCACACAGTGGATGTACAGGTGGTCTGTGACATATGGGAGGATCTGTATCTGTAGTAGCGGCTCCCCAGGAAAATGCTTTATCAAAAATCAGGAATTCCTCAAAGTGCATGACAAAAGCAAAACTGGTGGAAGGTGTACACGCGCACCATTTTCCTTGACCTGCGTCTCCGAGTTTTGAGGAAATGAACAATATAGTGTCCGGCTCCACCTGAAAGGAATTTCCGCCTGTTAATCATGATTAAAGTTTACACGAGAAAGCTATCATTTCATCAACTTTTTTGGATGGTTTTAGTGCCAAAGCTTTGAATGGCGAGCATTTTATCTTCCTCTTGACCTCGACATCTTGAACCCGAAACACCAAGGTTTCTTCAGACCACTTCATTCAGTGAACTGTGTGCGTGTATTGTCTCCCCTGCCAAAATGCCATGACAGGACTTGACATTAGCTGAAAAATTTGGATTCCTGGATAAGATCAAGCAACAACCACGAAACACTAGTCAGCGTTGGTTGGTGGAAATAACCGGATTGGCAAAGACTACAATTTTGCACTTGAGAAAACAAGAGAATGATCTGCGAGAAGAATGGGCACAAAGTGAAGGACAAGGAGGAACTTCCAAAAAATGGAAGCGTGAAGGCAAAGTCCCAGATGTTGATAAAATTCAAGAAAGCACATGACGAGAACGAAAGTGCTGATAGAGCAAATGTTGAAGAATGGAAATCAACAAAACTGCCCGAGCTTCTTGAAAATTTTTCAGCAGATGACATCTACAATGCTGATGAGACTGGGCTGTATTATCATGCTACAATAGACAGGTCGTTAAGTTACAAACATGTTGCACTCTCTGGCTCCAAAAATGTTATGCATTGGGTAACTGTTTTGTGCTGCTCAAACATGTCAGGAACGGATAACAGGAAGCTGTTGGTTATAGGAAAAAGCACTAAGCCTTGCTGCTTTAAAGGACTTAGGATGGAGAGTTTACCAGTTGTGTATCGTGCGAACAGAAATGTGTGGATGACCTCTGAACTTTTTAAAGAATGGCTGAAGGATTGAGACAGACAGCTACAACACCAGTCAAGAAAAGTGATGCTTCTTCTTGACAATTGTGCAGCACATCTTCATTTAGATTCCTTGATGAATGTCCAACTGGAATTTCTATGTCCCAGGACCACAGCTTTGGTCCAATGGGCATCATAAAAAATTTGAAGACCCTTTATTGTGCAAGGTTGGTTAATTACATCCTTGAAGCAATTGAAGAACGTTTGCTGATCTCATCGTAAAAAGACAGCGAAGTCAGTGCAAAGGTCAACATCTTACAAGCAGTTACATTTATGGCCGACAACTGGCGAAAAGTGAGCAGTGAGACAATTCAGAACTGTTTTTCTCCCTGTGGCTTTAAGCACTTGGTTTTGGAGATGGATGTGGACATGCATTGATTGCATTGTGGATTTCATTGAAAGTGAAAATGATGATTTACATGTGAAACTTCAACAGGTACAAAATTGCGAAGAATTTTTATCCATTGACAACGAGCTTCAATGCTATGATGAAAATGAAAATTACACTTGCTGCACCTCGCTGCAATCGTTGCTCAAGTTGCAGCAAAACACACGACGGCATCGGAAGACCAAGAAAGTGATGAAGATGATGCCGCTAATAAGTTGGTGCAACAACATAGAATGTGAGGAAATGCACTGAAACTTTGCATCGGTATTTCATGCAGGAGGGAAATGAAGGCAGTCCCCATTGCTGTGTTAGATGTTTGTGGTGATTTCATTCGCGTGCAATCCGTCAAGAGAACATGTCAGATCACATTGGATAAGTTCTTCAAGTGTTGATCGGAACTTGGAAAGAAATTGTTTTTATTGTGCTTCGCATGTTGAGTATTGTGGAGATTGTTTCTTAGAATTTGTTTCTAAATGAATTTTCTCAATGAAAAAAGTTTGACTGTATTTCTTGTTTGTACGTGTATGTTCGTAATACATGTGTACCGCACCATAAAGTTCATAATTACATTTTAGTACATGATTTACATGTACATTTGCTGTCTGCTACATGTAGCACTAACCGTCTTACAACATAGGACTTGTTTGTGTAATTTGACCAGCCGGTTATTAGGACCAAAACGATCGTTTCCCGATGTGGTCCGATTAACCGGAATCGACTGTATTTCTAGAATATAATTAAATAACAATCCCAACATCCCAGGCCCCAGGTTCTGCTAGATGGCCACATTAACAAGAGATTGATATTATTTGAAAATTGGGGTTAGCTGTCTTAGGAAATTATCTAGACACAGTAATTTTTAAATATGTAGAAATTTTCTAAACTGAAAGCTTTTTAAAAGTCTAATATCATAAAGACATTTTTAAAGGACTAATAAATCATAAGTTTTGTATGAAAGTTGGATTGATTCATTAAGGCAAAGCATCTTGACGGCTATGTGCCTATGGGGAGAGTGAAGAACTTTTAACTAAATGCAGGAGATAAAAAAACAGGTTTCTTAAGGAATGAGTATAACATTCAGTCATCATCATCACAGCCAAAAAGTCATCATCTAAATGTTTTCAGGAATAAGAAGAATGATGGAGAAAGTGCATATGCTCTGATAAATGTTGCTTCCAAGAAAACTAGGTAATAATTTTTTGCACTTCAAACAAAACTAACCTATAAGTATTTTCCACCTAACTTTCTGAGCATAAGAGTGCCTAAAAATCATCGTGGGAAAAATACATTCGGATTGATTTCGCACGAAATATTACTTACTAATATTTCTATTTTAAACCAGAATAAATAAGTGTACATCCATCATACTCCATGACTTTATTGAATAGGTCATAAAATTGCAACTTGAAATCGTACAATTAAAAGGCATACATAGATTTTATACTAGTTATTATAATAATATATAAAAGATCTATAAAAAGTAGCATTGAATACTCACCAGTTTTGCAGTAACGTTCTTTTTTAACGCTTTTATTGTTTCCCTGGCTACCACCTTTCCTCTTACGCACGCTTGAATTGCAATAAGAAAAAGATGTGGCTCAATGTTCTCCTTCAAACGCATACATATTTTTCTTGAAACGTCATTTACTTGAGAAGAATGAGTGATAAATGATAATTCTTCCACTATTTTACCATTCAGAAGAATATCCACCTAAAACATATTTAATGCTATTAAAAAGCATGCTTCATGCTTCTAAAATTATTAAGTTCCAAGTTTTGTAACTTTATTCAATTATATATCATATATAACAGTCATTCAAACAAAAAGGCACCAAAGTGCATACTTATTGTATTTATTGATTCTGAAACCCATGATCTTGATGTAATTTACTGACAAGTGATAGAAGCATCACTGATTCCTGTGGAAAAGGTAGCACTGCAATCGTACAGTAAAGGAAGCAGAAAAGACAATAGTGGTATTTGGCACAGGAGAGTAGAAAAAAGGAAAAAATAGTTTCAAATAAAGATGGCTACAAAACAGGAAATAAAAGCCATAATAAAATTCCGAAATGCTACAGGAAAACAACCTCTACAATAATGCAACATTGTTATACAAAGTGTGACAATAACGTTCAATGAATGTGCTCGTAAAGAAAAAAAAAAAAAAAAAAAAGATTCTTTTCTAAATCAGGAAAAATGTTTCATATTTTTTTGAAATTTCTGTGATTTGCAATGCAGTTTCAACAGTTGTACAGTTCCTGAAAACTGTGAGCAAATTCCCTTTCAGTATCGGAGAGCCCTTGTCGCATGGAGTAGAACTTCCTTATTTGTTGGTCACAACGGCTAACGAAATTTTTTCTTAATGATGACCCGCCGAAGAGATCGCAGATACTCCAAATGACAGTAGTCTTTAAACCAAACTTCCTTACGAAACAAACCACATACTTTATTAATATATTAATTACAATTACGGTGAGCATTGCTCACTTCTGCCTCCGTTCGCTGATAGCACCTGACCTGTTTCTATTTTTTAAAAATCATCAACGTTTCTTTTCTGATGTTGCCATTCCAAACAACACAATTTTTCCTTCATTCATAACTCACATCCTTACAAGTCCCTCCATGAGAAACACATTCATCACCTTAGAGACAGTCCTGCTCCGAACTCAAAGAGCGAGCTGCAGCCTAGATGTGTAAAATGTGCCGGTCAGCACTGGACTGCTGACTGTACTGACAAAAGACTTAAATGTTGTCCGCTGCTGTAACTGCCTTCAAGAAGGACATCCAGCGAACTATCAAGGGTGCCTAAAATATCCTACCAATAATCCTGCCAAATCTGTTAATAATATAAATATAGTTAATGCTACTCCTAGCACCTCCACAACTGTTTGTCCTAACGCCCCTAAGGATGGTAATATTGCTGCTTAAAGTTCCACAGTTAATGATGGCAACTCATATGCGAATATTGTTAAAAACGAAAAGAGTTAAACCTAGCTCGCCTATGGACTCTAATATCAATGCTAGACCTGTTAATAATAACAATGATGTCAACCCTAATGGTCTCTCTGAGATCGTTCAATTCATCAAAGAAATTGTAAACATGCTGAAAGGGATATCCCTCATGAAATTTCTAAAAACATTATCAAACAACGATTGATTTATCAAGTTTAATAAGCCAACAATTTCATTTTCTGACGATTCATGCACGTTTTCTATTTCATATGAAGAGGGACATATCTTCTTCTAACATGCATTTAACGTTGATGCTTTCAGAAACAAAGATACAATGTCAATACAGTGCTTGATTGAAAATGTCTTCCAAGCTTCCATTACCTTAATTGATTTTGAATCGGTTACGTCTAAAATGAACTGTAATGCTCTTCTTATGTAATATGCTTTAAAGGTATAAATGATACCTTGATCCAATGGTTGGAGTAATGAAGTAGTGTTAGGTGGTAGGAACAGTATTTTGACATCGGGATGATTCAAATCTTGTGGGTGACATGGAGCATTACCTAATAGTAATAGAGCATTGAAATTTTTCTGCCTTAAATAACATTCAGCGTCTGGCACAAAACAATTTAAAAGCCAAGCTTTATCTTCATATTCAATGTCCTAGCAGCGTCATAATCAGCAGATGCAGATTCTCATTGAATTCTTATGCTATTAGATGCAGGACTCTTTTTGAAATTTGCAAACCAACCTTTACTTGCCAGAAAATCTGGGTTGACAGAGGATTCTCCATGTTCTCTAAGGTACTTGAAAATTTCGAGTGCTTTTTGTTTAATGATATTAACATCCAACGGAATTCCTTTTTGACCACTATTATCAATCCAAATGCTAAGTACCTTTTTTCATCATTGTTATCTGGTGATCGTGGTGATTGACCATGAAATTTATTCGGATTGCACGGACAATTTTCTTATCGTGTTAGAGAAACTATGTTGTAGGAGCGCTCTCGCAATTTATGAATGGTGTTATAGCGAAACCATGTTACAAGATGCCGTGTTGTAGGAGAGCTACCTGTATTTACATTAAGTACTATGGCCATAGTAATGAGCTAACCTGTCGTAATGAACAACTTTAGGTTTAGAGTTCGAAGACTTACGGATCGAAACCACGACGTCATTCAGCCTATTTAGGACTGTGTATGGACCATCCCAAGGTGACTGTAATTTCGGACAAAGTCCTTTCCGTCGAGTCAGATTCCACAACCACACCTTGTCTCCTTCGTGGAATTGATGCCCAGTAGCTCTTGTGTTATATCGGGTCTTCATCTTCTTCGTCGCCAAGTTGTCTTGCTCGCATGCAAAGTTGTGCATCACTTCAAACCGGGCCTGAAGAGCTTGAATATATTCCTCAGGCGATGAAGGTGCATCCGGAGAGCGACCAAACAAGAGATCACAAGGCAGACTAAGGTCACGACCGAAGAGCATCTGTGATGGAAAATAGATCGTAGTCTCGTGGACAGCACCGCTGTAAGCCAGTAAAAACCGTGATAATTTCTTATCCCAGTCCTATTGGTTTCTGGAAACCACTAATGAGAGGTTATTAAGAATGGTTCGATTGAACCTCTCTACCATGCTGTCTGACTGGGGATGTAATGGCGTCGTTTGGGTTTTGTCAATGCCGAGTAGTTTCCAGAGTACTTTGATTACCACTGAGGCGAAATTCCTTCCCTGATAGGAATGTAACTGAAGAGGCACTCTGAACCTGGAAATCCAGTGCTGTATCATCACCTCAGCTACTACGACAGCCTCTTGATCAGGAATGGGATACGCTTCAGGCCACTTGGTGAAGTAATCAATGACAACGAGTATGCATTTGTTGCCATCAGCAGTTCGTGGCAGAGGTCCCAAGGTATCAAAGGCGATACGTTCAAACGGCACCCCTACGTTGTAACGTTGCAGCTTGCCTCCGCTGCGTCTCTTCAGTCCTTTCTGACCTGCACAGGCATCTCAAGATAGGCACCACTTTTGCACGTATCTTGCTTTAATAAAGGCTCTACTCTCAAAGTTCTATCAAGGCTCAAGGGCGGTGTTCTTGATAGATCCGGGATTTGAAGATAGTGCCACGAAGCTCCATCACGATGGAATTTCCGAAAGACGCGTCTGTTGGCAGTGGTGATAAAGGCAAAGCATATTTTGCTTCCCTTAAATAAAGCTAAGACTAATCTAAATAAAATTCATGCTTTATTCCGTAAATAAAATAAAAGAGCTAACACTGTAGCCTTTACATTTAAAATCATTTGATTGAAAGCAAACTAGCATTATGCTAACTCATAATAACACAAGAGAACAAGACATTCGCCGATACCGGCGTACATATATATAATACTCGGCCAACCCGCCGATCTTGACGTCATCGGCCAATCAGCGGCAACCACGTTAGCTTACCGCCGATTGACCTCCGATCAAAATTTGCATGTGGAAAACTAAAGCCAACAAACGGCCCTCTTTTCCTCATGCAAAGACAAAAACAAAACTTGCACAGAATTACAGAAGTTCATAGTTCAATTCTATTATACGAAAACACTTATTGTCTTTAAACACTGAAAACATCTAAACAAAACTTTCTTAAATTAACAGCAGTCGCTGCTTTTGTAAATAAGTCGGCAGTATTTAATTTACTGGTGATAAATTCAAGGTCAAACACTCCATCATTTACTAGTCTTCTAACAAAGTGATATTTTACGTCTATGTGCTTAGTTCGGCGATTTTCTATTGGCGATCTAGAAAAATCAATGGCAGACTTGTTATCACAAAATAGTTTACATTCTCTTAAATTAAACTTTAAAATTTCATCTTGTAAGACATTTTTCGTCCACATTAATTCCTTCGCTGCTTCAGATAAGGCGATATACTCCGCTTCCATGGTTGATAAACTTACACATTTTTGTTTAACAGTTTTCCAGATTACCGGTACTTCATCTAAATATAATATAAATCCTCCCATGGACACGCGGTCATCTCTATTACTTGCATAATCAGCATCTGAATAACAATATAAATTTAGATGTTTAATCTTCGATAAGTTTAACTTATATAATTTAGTATTACTATTGAGATAACTAGAGATAACCAAGCAATTTCAACAATGCTTCCCAATGCCTAATTCCAGGATTCTCCTGAAATTGTGATAAGATATTCACTGCATATGTAATATCAGGCCTTGTCCTGTTAGCTACAAAAACTAAACATCCTAACAGATTTCTAAAGGGTAATGTATGCATTTCTGCACTTGTAGATGGACAATCTAATTTTGTAAGAATAGTGCCTTTAGCTATGGGAAGTGAAGTTATTGGTATCTGGAAATGTTTAAATTTTTCAAAAATTTCTTCGATATATTTTTGCTGATGTATAAAAACCCCATTCTCATTCTCTAAGAATTCAATTCCAAGTAACGTTTTAGTTTTGCCTAATACTTTAAGATCAAAAAACTTACTCAGCTGTGAAATTACTTTATCTATACTATATCTATCATCACATATCGAGAATTACATTTGAACCCTTATAAACACAATTACACCATTGTATTTTCTTAAAATGTAGATTTTCTAAAGTACTTTCAAATTCACAAAACCATTCACGGCCGCTTTGATGTAGACCGTAAATGGCCTTGTGTAATAAACACACTTTATTTTCCTCTTCGATAAATCCCTCTGGTTGGGTCATATATATTTTCTCATTTAGGTTTGCATATAAATATGCG